AATCCGGTTGTGCTATGCGGGTGATGGATGACTGAACAGACATCCACTGAGGGCACAAAACAAAGCTCGTTTCCTACCAAAACCTCAACCAGAATATACAATGATGCTTTACGACGTTATCTCGTTTGACTTTTACAAATAAGTCCAGCAATGTAAGGAGCATTTATGTGGTGAACGAAGATGTCGTGGTTTGGTCATTATAGAGATAAGCTATGGATCGTTTAGATCAAAATGGCGGACTTCCAAAATACAGGTTCCATGAGATGGGATGAAAGAAATTAGCTGCACATGTTAGGCGAGCTCTCGTGATTTTTGGTAGATGAGCATATGATATAATTATTATTTTTAAAAAGAAAAAAAGGATTGTTCCAGTACATTTTTCAAAATAAAAAACTAAATACATAGGTAGTAGATTTTTTTTATCGTCACTCTTAATTTAATGACACTTAGAAAATTTAGTACAATCTACAAACTTCCCTATACAATCCGAAGCGAATTCCCAAATCTTCCAAGACATTGTAAGTTTTCGTAAGGCAAAGGAATACCATTTCCTTCGGTATTCCCACCTGTTAACATCACTTGATGTTCTAAATTTAAATAAAAATGAGTTGTACAATCGTAAATATTCAATCGCGTATCAACGTCGCACTTCCGGTCCCAAAACAGGTGAAGAAAAAAAATACTATTCAATTGATTGTGAACCCTTGCTTTCAGTTGTAAAAAAGTGTAAGTGCAGTGCACACGAGAAGCTTTACAAAAAAGAAAAAAAAACTGAATTGAATTTGTAATTATTCTGAGATAATAAAAATTATATAAAATATCAGTTTACGTAATATTTTTGAATTTGGGACAAATAACTTTGAAAAAATGTGTTTCTATATTAACATTCGTATATTTTTATAAGTAATAAAAATTAAGATGTTGTTTCTATACTTTTTTCTGTTCAGTAAAAATGTTTGTACATTTCAACACATTCTTTGAACTGTTACAAATAAGTATTTTTTTATTAATATGGTCTTTTCAGAAAGAAGTTTTGTTTTCTGTATTATTTTAAAGTTCTCGTCATAAAAACGGAAACTATAGTTGACAAAGGATAGACTTGCAACCCTCACTTATTACATCTGCATAACCTTGGCCTAAATCGAAAGTTGAACATCAAAAGGACGCCGACCCTGTGTGTGTGTTTTTTGAAATAATGTCAGTGTCATAAAAACTGATAAATGTTGAATTGTTAGCATTGTCCTATGTAGCTGCCGATATTTTTGAAAGCAATAAAATTCGAAATAACCAATCACAAGATGATAAAAAAATTAAAAACGCTTATGTTTTCACTTTAACGTTGTAATTGTTTACTGTTCTTTTTTGTTTTTAGTTAAATAAAGTTTTTCTTACTTTCGTTGTCGTTTGTAGAAAAGGAATTTTATGTAAAAAATTTATTGTACATATCTTACTTCTATGTTTTGATTACAACGTGCTCCTTTTTTTCATTTGAATTATAATTAAACATGCACGTTTTACTTGTGTAAAGATTTGTGAGAAGAAAATTAAACATTCTGCTAAAAAGCGAACCTTTTTTTGTTTTCGTTTCTTGTTATAAGAAATCTTGGTCAATTTTAAGCGGTGTCCCCGTTTTCGAACAAAACTGCCAGTTCCCTCTTAGAAAACTTTTCTTATTCAGAAAGCTGTTTGCAAGAATGTCAATTCCATCGATTTCCCAATCCTAATTCTTTCCGTTTGGGCGGGAAGCATTCGATCCCCAGAGCTCCTGCATACAATTAAGCACCCTCATTTACGTCTGGTCAATGACAGCCCTGTTTTAATCAATAACTTCTTTTCGCGCCCGGCGTCCTTGGTTTTTTTTCCCCCGGCGCGACTTTTTCTGCGCGTATTTCGCTTATAATGTGTCAATCGGCCCGCGGTTTTTTATCAACCAGCGAACGCGGTCTAACACGCGTTACCTCGTTTTCGACGATTCCGCAAAAAGCACAACAAAAAAGGCAAAAGCTCCGCCAAAAAATCGTCTACCGAACAGTATCTCGTATCGCCGGTCTTGTAGCCAGTTTAATTATTATTTAATACCAAGGGACGAGCACGTGGCGACGCTTCCCGTCTCTGTCGCGCAGCTGAAGCCTAGCGCGCCCGCCTCTCCCCGTCTCGCTTCCACCGAGCCCACTTACACACATAAAAATCGTGAATAATAAAAAAATGTGTACACATTTTTTTCGCTTAACCGCCGCTTCTGTGTGTGCGTGCGGCCTGATGCCGCGCGAGCGAGACGCCGCTATCCAAGCGAGCGGCGTGACCGCTCCCCACTCCGATTTTTTAAGCTCCCGCATCAATGTTGTCGTCCGTGTGATTTTTTTCATTTTTATGTGTTAGTGTAACCCTCGCTCGGTGTAGTTCACTTTTTCTACTATAGATCTGAATTTCAGTCTCGTTTTTGCCGCGTCGGTCTTAAGGCGGACGAGCGGTCGTTTTGTATTGCATTTTTGTTGACGCGAGCGGCCGGTGTTCGCTCGTTCGCTAGGCCCGGCTTTTCTAAGCACATGTCTTGAAGCCCACTACATACTGCAAGCCGCTGCACGCGCAAATCGAGTGCGACAAGGACGGCAGCATCACGTGTGGTATCCACAACCATAATTATATAGCACACTAAAATATTGGGCACGAAAAAAAATCTGGTAATTTTTGATCCTAGTAACGGCGCCGCGCATTCATAATTTTAACGCGGGGTCAGGAGGACGGCTCTGCAGTTTTTTTTTCATACGAACTTTTTTTTGGTAAATGTTTATTCGCAGGACGCACGTGGATTTTTTTAATTTTGGCTATCCAGCCTTGGACTGTTGCCTTTTGGACGTGTTGTGACGTTAGTGTTACCCTATAATGTGATATTTTTAGTGACTATTATTAGTTAGGAACAAACTGTGATTTTTTATGGTGATATAGTTGGTGATTGTGAAGACTTTTGGATAGTGACAGGTATCTCGACTTTTTTTTTAATTTTCTCTTAAATTAATGCCGGTAGCAGGTTGCCTGTGGGGTGACGGGGGTGTTTCTCCCTGAAAGGGGAGTTAGAGATTTTTACGTAACTCACCCCCCCCCTCCCTGAGGAGGTGGATGTTGTAATTTCGAGTCGGCTTGGCGGCTGTCTATCAGAGCTGACCTTGAATATATTCGGGGCTATAAATACAGTAATATTCTTGGCTATACAGTTTTTGTTTTCTTATATTCAAAAACATAATATACTTTTACAATTTGAAGCTATACCTGACATATGCAACAGGTTGTCTGCTACCGACATTGATAGAACCTTATATTAAGTAAAAAAAAACGCCGAAATGTTGTCTGATGATACCTATCGAAAGTAGAAAAAAATTACAAAAATGGAAACTAGATTTTGTCACTAGGTGAATATTTAACCTATGCAATGGTCTCCTTGTGAATGTTTTTCTGAACAGTTTTTGCACAACTTAAGTATTGGAAACGTTCTTATCCAATATCAAAGTAGGTACTTCTTGTCAAACAACCTTGTATTGCACGCTTCACTAACTACGAAATCTCCCAACTGCTTAGTAAACGCACATTTTAGCTCGGCAATATCATTAAAAAAACCGACAGGGTGACATTTAAGTGCGACAAACAAAAAATTTGATAGAATTTGTACCAAAAAAACCACAATCTTAAAATCTCGACTAAGCTTAAAGTTCTTTATATTTTAAATCAAAAATGATATTCTCATAATTAACAAAACTTAATATTGTTGGTCCAGTATAAGAAGAAAAACAAACTATTAGCTGGAAAATAAATATATCTGAACACAAACTCATCACGAATATCTTGAATTAAGTGAAGAAAGATGTACACGGCTATTAAGGACCCTGTAAATAATCAAAATTATTTTTGCTTCATAAATAATTTGTTTTTCGAACGCGTCAAACATAGCCTTAAATGAACAAATAAATTTGTCAAAGATCGTTTACAGAGCCCTTTATAATATAACTATACAAATTTAATTAAAAGTTTAAATGTTAGGTTAAACGTGTCACCCTCAGTATCTAGTAGTACTCAGTTGAGCCAACACATTAACGCTTAGGTCGAACAAAAAGCTAATTACTCTCATAAACAACTTCCCTAGCGCGATAGTACGATTCAAATCTTAAAAGTCGATCGACTGAGGCCCTGTATAATAACATCACATCACTAACATTATATTACATCCGGCTCAAGAAGTTTGCGAACACAAATCTCAGATCAAGTAACCTCTATGTCTACAACGCTAAAGTTGAAATCACACCTACCAGAAGTAACAGTAGCCGCAAAAATATATTGTATCATTTTCTATACACGCAATTATCTTTGACAGTAAACTGCTTTGGTCAAGTATGACTCAACTCAGATGTGTTTGGGCATAATAAAAAATGTAATACCTATTTTCTTTGACAAAATACGAAATTAAAAAAAAAACGATTTTATGGTTTATTGCATTTCTAGTGTTACTAAAGGATAGAAAAAATAAAACAAGTATTACTCATCGTACATTGCGAGCGCACAGCAATATTATGATTATCGAGGCCTTATTCGATACGGCATGTGGGCTAGCCTCCAGATCGTTGACACAACCTACGCGGCTCTTGTCACCTGCTCGCAAGAAAAAAACGGCTAGCTTTTTTACTCGTCAAATCTAGTTTTAAATAGACAAACGACTATGCACAACCTCTTTGCTGACAACTTGAATCTTCTAAGTAAAACAAAAATTGAACTTTGTACAAAACCTTTTTTCGATGCTCATTAGACAACATTTTGGACCGTTCCATATTCGTAAATAACAAAGGAAATTAATTGCATTTGCAGCACAAACGGAACGGAGGATCTCGAACAATTCCATGACACACAAGACAAGATTAAACAAGCGAGACTATACAAGCGAGCCGTATATTTTTATAAGATAGTACCAAATATATAAGTTTATATATTTAGATAGAAATTTTAAAACGATCAAGATGATGGAAGGCAGGACAATCGATTACAGGCCGGACGGAGGCGGTCTTGATTATCACAATTCGCCTTTGATGGCCGAGATTCCAATAGACAATTACTCTCACATACACAGAAGTATAGAACACCTAAGATCTATAGGTGTGCCACCTCCTTTAGACCACCATAGACATTTAGCGGCGAACATAACAGACCTGAGAAGGTACGAACATCCCGATGAAATACCAGAAATCAAACCGCCACTTTTAAGACTGTCCGAGTTCAAAAGCGGACTCCACGATATAAGAGTTAATAACGATCAAGAGAACGATGTTCAGAGACAGATGACTCCTCAAGACGATGGTGGTAAGGGGTACAGCGCGCCGTCTACACCTCTTTCGGAGAACGGCGGGCATGGGGTTCAGGAGGAAAAGGTCAGCACAACTTTTCATATAATTAAAGTAAATTAATCATTAAAGCCGCCTTGGAAACTTCGGAAGTCTTCAAATGTTTTGACGTCATCATTATTGTCGGTAATATTCGGCGTTTTGGGCTCATTGTTAGCGAACATTACAGTATCACGACGCGAGCACTCTGTTCCGCGTACAACACTATTAATCTCTAGATGATTACTAAAATTACGTCTGTTAAGTTTTGGCGCGTCTAATGTTATTGCGCCGAACAGCCAATTCAAGTGTTAATGGTTTGGTGGTTGAATATATTGACATCGATCTCCTCTTCATCTGTGAACGTTGTGACTATTATGTTATTATAAAACGTAATCTTATTGGTATCTGCTACACTCTTACCTAAATTACTTCTTTATCATTTCATTAAAATGATCTTTGACATTGCACAACACGTGTCTCTCAATGTCCGTTTTAATTTCAAGTTCAAGTACACTCGAATTATTATCTATTTGTTCGTAGCTCATGAAATTTATTTGTATGTTTATCGCTTCCTTGTTAGTTTTTTTAATTCGTCTTACAATTACCTTAATTGAATTTTCTGATATAATTCCAATAACAATATTCGCAACTGTTTTCATTCTAATGAGATATTATTTCGAATTATAATTTAAGTCTCATGAATATTTATATGACGATGGTTATCGTAGGTATATTTGATCCAATTAGTGAATAATATTTGTTAGGTACCTAACAATAATTATTCCTATTTAACTTAAACCTACTTACTATTACCTTGTACTAACTTATACAATATTCCTTAGGTATGTTTATTATAAATTTATCTCTGCAGATTTCATTCAGTGTTAAACTATGGCATACATCTACTAGAAACACTCATGATTGCATAAAAAAGTAGTTTTTAATTACTTTTACTGGATATTTTTAATATCATGATTTATTTCTTGACATATATCTTGAAATGGAAAAAGAAAAAGACACTGTTAGTTTAAGTATTTTTTTGCATTGGCTTATATAAACTCACTCCATACTTTTTATTGAAAATCTAAATGCCATATTTCAAATAGAAATACTAACTTTTTATGTTTTTTTCTTTTCTTTTATTGTCTATTTGAACAACGAAATTGTGATCATAAAGTTGCCAGTGATGAGTACGGATACACCTTGATCATGAGCCAAGGTCAGGCGTACCCGGGTCGCATAGAGGTTGTATTGGCCACTACCTATTGTCTGTTCGACGGTGTTTTTTTAATGCAATTACATAGATAACGACCCGTGTATGGCTTTAATGAATTAAGCATCTACCTAACTATTTGGCGTATTGATGTTTTCCGGGAAGATATTTATCTTTTGGTATAATTTCAGCGGTTTTAATGCTCTTAAAATTTTTATTGTGTACCTAATATTCTTGATTCGAAGGCTAATTTTAGTTAGCTTGCGTTGTTTGTATTAAACATTTAACTTACTATTTTTGGTTAGCTTGCGTATTATTTTGTATTTTCAATATACTAGTTTTGTCGATATCTTGTATAACTTTTTTGAAGCCTTTGTTTCCATGGGTGAAAGAGGGTTCAATATACGAACTATTAGAACTAACAGGTGCTGTCCACTAATAGATAGATTATATAGTTGCCCTATCGGTTATCGAACCTAGAAACAGGAGAGCCAGCTGGTGTTTAAACCTATGAACACAGCTGTACAGAAAATAGTTAAGTTCCGACTAAACTATGAGCCAAGAATAGAATAACATAAGTAAATTACTAAAGTCCACATCCAATTTTAGTAATCATACAGGAAATCATTGAAAAATTACATACAAAGCTAAATGTTATGATTATAATAATGAGTAAAGTAATCGATTCCGTCCGTCTAACAACTTTGACAAGCTCTTAAAACATTTGATTTGCTATCATAACACTCTCGCGCTACTTCCATAGACAGACCACATTCGAGTACTCGTTAAATAAGCTAAGTTTGTTCGCGGAAAAGCGTCTCATGTAGTAGTAAGTCTGTTTAAATAAATTCCTTCGCCAGATAAAAAATATACGTTTGGCGTGTGTGCGATAATGCTGATCTATGACCCGTTCGCAAACGTTACAAGGTCAGTGATAACTCCCCCTTACGTTATGTAACCTAAGGCGGAGTTGGTGCCGCGAAAAATAATGTTTTCATTTTTTTTTTCTGTTATTGCGGAACACGTTACATTTTAATGTGACTGGCCACCGATACGAATGCGAGATTTCTGTCTCGTTGATTCGAAACCTTTTGCTATAAGCAAGGCATGACATTTATGGTCAATAAAATATAAAACCTTCTAATTTTGAAATATTACTTAAGTATAAGAAAAAATGACATTTTACAATCTATCCTAAATCAAATGAATACAATGTATTTTTTGATCTATTTCATCGGTAGTTTGCAAATTTATGAAAAATTTAAATAATTGCTTAAGAAATGGACGTAGAATATTTATGTTCCTATTTTATGTAACTGGTTCTAAATGGAAAAAAAATATGAGAATCTTATAGGTGTGAAGTTGATTTATTTTGTTAGTTAACTTAAATATAATACTCAAATATATATGAAATTTTAATTCAAGCTATTTATCTATAAAAATAAGTAAAGCCTGTTTTCCCTGCTTGGGAAAACAATCTAAATTTTTTATTCACCCAATTTGACTTTCAATCTGTCACGATCAACCTTCGCAATGGATTCGGATGCAATTACCACAAATTTGAATAAATCTTTTATTTCTTGACTGCGAAAATACCTGTCAATTTGAATTTCTGATCCACATAATGTCATAGTGTGCTTTTCACTAAAAAAATGATATTAAATCACATGAGAAATGAAATTTTTGAAAATATTTTCATTTCCTATGTGTTATTATGATTTTAATAGTTTTAGAAGAAGCTTCCTTTTTAGCCTTGTTATTACTATCAGATGTGATTTTGAGTTGTTATAGAAGTATAGGTAAGTAATTCGCAGAATAAAAAAACTTCGATCAAATTAAAGTTAAAAATAAATCTAATTCAAAAAACTGATGCTCTACCTTTTGCGTCTACAACATTGAATGAAAATTTTGATGCTCAGAGAGATAATTCGTAATTTCTAATTTTAGCATGAAATATAGCAAAGCTATCTTAAAAATTTCGACTGACAATTATAGGTACTTATCCAAAAGCGCAGAATTATGTCCTTGACAGATAAGCTATCGCTTGAGAAAAAAAAACAAACTTGCTGTTCCCGCGCGTCGAGGAACCGAATTCGCGCCAAGGCCGCATTCCAATTTCGAATCATTGTCAATGTCACTGAACGCATAGCTATGTTTTTTTTCTAATAGAAATTTTTCTTTGGTAATTCTGTATCTAGGTATACCATTGGTAATAAATCAGAAATTTAATGGTACTTTCCTACCAGCGCGGCTTGGTAATGGCTTCCAAAATAAACATTGTTTGATAAACATTAAAAGCATGCTAGCAGAATGAAAATTCTCCCAAATTTCTTTAAGAATTGATCTACAAAGTACGTAAAAATTACCTCTACAAAAAAAGCGTTGTAGCATGTATTTTTTTTTTTATTTTTGTGTTCTTTATTTTTTTATTTATTATTTTAGTGTTATATTTTTATGTTCTAATTGCAACCCATAAGAGATAAACACTCGTAGACAATTTATAGTCGTATTCGATATATTTTTGATTTTTTTTAAATTTTAGAAAATTCGAATCATGCAACATTTGATTCTCTAGAAACTAGTAGTTAGTAATTTTCCATTAAATTATTTGCCAATGTTTTTATTACCATTTCCACGGTTTCAAACTTGAGCATTTAAGGCTTTTAGATCTTAATCAACCATACATTTCTTGCAACGCTTCGGTTAGGTACATCGGAAATTATAAGGCGATCTAACTCACAACGATATTCCGATGATACGAGAGGTCAACACATAGCGGTCAATAAATTATTGTAACAACGTTTGGAACTGGTAGACCTCCTAGTGTCATACATCACAATAAAGAATACAGTTCTTTCTAAAATGGATCTTTTCGTACACGGTCAATGTCAACACACAGGGTGATCTAGACATGTGTCAAGAATATTTTTAGCTCACTCCACTTATTCAATTAATCTATTTAGCAAACAATATTTTTTCAATATATAAAGTTCATTGACTCGCGGTTTTTTTTAGCAACTTGTGACATGCGTTTGACACCACTCTCTTGCGTATAATTAATTTCGTATCTAATGAGATTATAATTCGTAAAGATACTTTGTGGGGGTCTTGCTCTTGAAAACAATCTTGCCGAATTTACGAACGAATTCTTTACCTTGTTTTTTGTAATTAGGAAGGTACTAATGAAAAAAGCTTTGTGTTGGCGGGTTGGCATATTGGATATTAAAAAAAATATGGCGATGTAATAAAAGTTTCAATTGAAAATATATTAAATTTGGAAAGAACATATTTACTAGAAAAAAATCCACGCGGACCAGGCAGCAGACAGGAATCGAACCCGCACCCTTTGCTATCCGGGCTAAAGTACTGACTATTATTCTACCGCTGCTCTGACGACCGTGTCGAATTTTCTCTAGCCTTTCTGAAGCTGGTCTGAGTAGATTTTTTTCTTAACATTTAAACATCTAGCAGTTACATGCTTAAAAAAATAACAAATATAAATTTGGAAAATTATTCTCTTGAAGGATTTTTTTTCTGCTTTAAGTTAGCTTCAATAGTAATAAAAAAAAATAGGTACAGTTACGAGGAGCACTCTATTAATTTTTATTTTTGATGCTATGTTATATTATGCTTGCATTATCGGACCGAGAATTTCCTGTGAAGGTATTTTATTTTTTATATTATTTTCCTGTGAACAAGTCATTTCAAATAAAAAAATATATTAGCTACATGCAAAAAGTATTCCGCTATCAAATAACTTTTCTATGTTATATTAACTAACAGATATATTTAACTATGTAGGTACTATGTTTCATCAGATATACTTTAGGAT